CAGACATAGAAGATAAGTTAAAATAAAAATCTTAGTTAAACAGAATTATTAGAAGAAATATTTCTACTACAAATGTATTTTTCCTCTCCTTCAACTATTTACAAGATGTTAAAATCTTAAAATAGGGGGAAAATGTCTGAAAATTTCAAGTAAAATGTGTTTTTCATATTATTTAGTAATTTTAACTTATGTATTACATATCTAACCTTCAGTTAATTTAAATAATTGCCTACTAGAGTTTATAAGGAAAAACTTGATGTATAAGGTATTTCAACATAAAAAAAAATCATTTCCCAAATTTCTGTTGATAATGGAAGTTTTTCAAAGTTCACATGAAAAAATGTAGCCCTGGTGTTATCAATTATCTCGCCAAGTTGTGGCAAATGCCATAAATAATAACACCATAAAGTGCTATGGAGTAATGAAGATCCCAAAAATAATAATTGTGATTACAGTATGATGAATTAGGGAGACTACAAAACACACACACCTACTTAAAGTTTTTTTCTTTAACTATCACTTTAGGATAAATAAGTTTGAATTTCAAACAAAGAACTGGATGAGAATATAAGAGCAATAATGCTTATATCAATCATTCATGACCTACAGCAAATCTAATGAATTGCCCCATGAAGCCTCTCTATTGATATAGTTGGTGATGAGTCCAGGAAGAGTAGGAGCATCTGGAAAATATGGGAAAATGCTTAAATGTACAAGGGCTTATTTATTTCGAGGCCATGTGGCATTTCTCAGCTTCCACTACATCTAACTGGGAGATGAGATGGAGCCAGAAAAACATTCCCGGACCAGGAACCCGGAACTAGGCGAACCTATTCCTGGCTGTTTCTTTGCCTTTGAACAAATGACAACATCCATAGGTTTTAGTTTTCTCCTGAGGGAAACATAAAGTGGGACCTTTATTCTACATGACCTTTAAGATTGCTTCCAGATCGAGCTAGCATTCCACCTGTCTAGAAAATGTGCCCAAGATCTCATATTTCCATGAGCGTCTATAAACTATCTAAAGCCTCACTGTTAGAATAATCGCAGAAGTGATACAAGACTCACATTCTTGAGTGAGAAAATAAGGATTTGTGGTAATTCCACAGAGAAAATGTGGGCAATCTTTCAAATATGTTTGTAGAGAATGCACACATGAGATTGATCTCTTCCCACAGATTCACCCCTGGTCAGTCTCACTGATCATATATCTCATGATGAAACTCAAAAGAGGTTGACTATATAAAAGCAATTCTAATATTCCTGGAGATACATTTTACTATGGGGACTTCGTTACACATTCTTTTGTGTCAAAAATTTTTCACTGAACTGAAAGAAGCATATTTGTTGATAACGTGTTGTCTTCCTTTAGTAACTTAGTATGACATGGCCCTGGTAAAGAAGGCTAAGTCCATGACACAGGACTAGGGTTAGAATCTTAGGAAAGTAGAGTCCAAGTGTTACTCTGGACAATTCATTGGATTCTGTATCATTTTATCTAAATTGCTGCCCTCCTGGCTAGTTGTCAACCTCCTTCTCTATCCCCTCCATGGGAAATTGCACTCCATCAATTTCATAGTCTACAAATACATACTCCATAAATTTCATACACTAAATTTGTGTGACATTTCACCAATTGTTGTAACTATTAACGTACACCCAGTGGCAAATTTTTATCTATTTTGAGAAGGCTGTGGTTGGGAGATTTTGAAGTACAGTTAATGATTGATAAAGTAATTTGAAATTGCAAGATATTTATTGATAGACATGTTAATAGAACTGGAAAAAATGTATAATTTTCACCTTGAGCAGTTTTTAGTATAATATTTTTTTATAAACCATGAACTGTTAAAGGCCTAAAGCTCAGACCCACTGAATGTGTATTGCCTATTTATTGTGTTGGTTATAATAGTCAAAACTGGACTACAATTCTTTTATAAGAATATAATTTATTTAGCTTATTTTCACTGTAGCACTAATGGTCAATTTTAGTAAATGGTTCAAATAATCTAGGAAGTAGGGTATCCATGCTTATTTTTTTTTTTACAAAGTTTTCTGAGGTATTGGCCAAAGAGCGAGGGGGCAGACGTCAATTTCTATGATGCATTTGTAAATATTGACTATAAAGATACCACATGCAATAAATTGGATCTGTAGAAACTACTACTAACAATGTAAAGTTATTTATCAGTCCACTGTTTCTATATTGGTTAGAAGGTATGAGGGGTTCACCATTTTATAGGTGATGAATGATTTTCAAACATAATTGCCCAACGAAGACACAGAAGAATCGTACAAGGTACAAGACTAGTACTCTAGTTACTATTTGGTGAAAAAGGTGAGGTTTACTTTTAATAAATATGTTTTACTTTATGTCACATGCTCTATCAAACAGCTTCTTCCCTAGTATATAAGTAAATATACCTTATTTTATTAAATTCAAATTGTGGCAGTGGCAAGAGCTTATTGATTCATAAATATTTGCAACTTGCCTAAATAAATTAGTTCTGAGTGCCTACTGTTTGTTCAATAAGTGAAAGATGTGTTTTCTTTCCCACCACCGGAATAGTTAACTATTGGATTGAGGATATTTCATAATTTTCTGCACTTTAAATATAATGTCATGTGTTGGTCATGTGTACATTAATTACTATTGTCAGAAGAAAAAATTGGGGACATAAAAAATCAATCCCCTTATGTAATCTTTCTGTGAAATGTGTACATCCTCCAGGCTTTGTCTGCTGTCTGAAGAGCCATTATTACTTATGTTGGGTTTCTTCAGCATTGGTCTCTTCAAACCTGATATAGAAATGGTGACCACCTTCATTTATCTGTACAAATCTAGATGGAACCCCCACTGAATCAATTTCAGAAGGAGCCAAAAGATGTCTTTGGTTCATAGCAATGCCTCTTCACAATGAAAAAGTCACACATATATTAAAGATATAATACAATCTCTCAAGAGAGAAATGACTTGCAAAGTGTGAAGGCATCTTCAGTCAAAAGCCTACAAGCCCAAAGTGAGTTGAATACATATCCACGACTGTTTTAGTTGCTCCAGTGGAATTGATTTTATGAAGTTCCAGGAGACGGGTACAGTAGTAACTTTCTATCTTTGGTTTTTGTAGATTTATTTCCTTCTCATTTTTATTACAACAAACACTGCCTCATGTCAACCACATTAGGTTATTAATACAAATTCTCCTGTCTGTTCATTCAGCAGTTTTGACTTAGCTACAATTGTAAGTGTACTGGGGAGTAGTATGCTAGAATAACGTTCCAAAAATTGACCATGGAATATTCCATAGCATTATTCTCATTGTGATGAGATTGGGTTAAAGACTTGGGAAGCTAATTTCTCTCTCACACACTCTTTTTATGATATTATTTTCAGAATGAACTGGCCCAAGTTTATACTTGATCTTCGATGTTCCTCAGTTATGCTCACTGGTAATGATCAGAACCAATTGGTGTTCTTGAAGCAATTTCATGCGGATATTTGTCTCCTACCAAATAGACACAAGAGCAGACTCATCTAATTAGCAGAATCCCCCCTGGACTCGCTGTCTGTGCTTCTGGCACATTAATAAAGCTGAGATGTGAACCAGGACCCCTGAGGGCCTTTCCCCATAAGTCCCTTGTAGAAACTTGTGGTGTCTAAGCAACAGCTCGACTGAGTGAGCCAGCCAGAGGCTTGCTCTGAACGTGGCCCCACTAGGAACTGTGCTCAAACAGTCTCAGCTGGGAGCTGCTCTGGTGTGTTTGACTAATGGCATTTCAAAAGCAAATACCATGTGCTAAAGAAATTCAGAGGTGTTTAACCCTGAAAGCTGGGATTTCAGGGTAAGCCGTGTAGTTGTAAGGAACCAGTCATCTCCTCCTCTGCTGTGTCAGCAAAATTCACAGTGCAGAGAGTTTGGGTAATTTTCTTTTTATCCCTGAAAGCTTAGGATAATTATTTTTTGCAGCCACATTAACTCTTATGATTAGCATCTTGATGGGGTTTTCATACCTATGTCAGTGATTCAGACAGTCTAGGTAGTTGCTATAAGTGCACATTTATCAAGGAGGGACCCAGAACCATTTTTATTCAGTAGTAATTCACTGAACTATATTGTCGATCTGCACTCAAGCTATGGATAGGGATGAAAAAAACCTTATCAGAGATCAGCAAAAAAGGTACCCTTTCAACAGACTAACTTTGACAGGTTAAAAAATTTTGCTATTAAGAAAAAAAACAATCAGGTTTTCATCTTGCATGACCTGGGCTCACTATTCTTTAAACCCCACCCTAAAGTATTTGAGAGATAACCATCTTAGGCATGTGGCATCAGATGATTCAGGCAGGATAATTTTTATTTTTACTTGGGTAAGCTCTAAAATTAAGAACAAACTTATCTATGTTGATCTGAATTAACCAAACTTCCTCAGTTCACATGGAAATCACCACTTCCCTTTAAACCTTGTAGGTTTGTCACTGGTGTCAGGGATGAAAAAAATTATAGTTGATCCATTTTTTCTTATAATCCCAGACAACCCATGTCCAGTAAAAGAAAAAAATAAATCTCAGAAAGTGCTGGTTATACAGTAAAGCACAAGCCCCTAATGGCTCTCTGAGAATGGCATCTGTGAAATTTTAAATATTGATATGCCCATTTGTTCTTCTCCTGACTGCAAACTCGCTGAGTTCTTTTAAATTGTATTTTTATTTCTTCCTTAAACAGTTTCTCATTTAGAGCCCCTCTTTTTCCTCGAGGTTAAATGGAAGCTTATCAGGGATCACACTCACTCTTCCTCATGTAGCTCAGATGGGCGGCGGAAGGGAGCGACATTGTCAGCACGAAAGGAACACTAACTGGAAAGACAGTGTGCCGATGATGTGACATGCAGGACAGTTTGACTGGTTCTTTTGCTTCCAAATGTTCCCCTTCTCACATTTTCGCTTATCCTTGTCATAGGAGCAGACTGGATTATATAAATACTTTTGCTAATAAGAAGCCTTTTTTTTTTTACAGCACTATTTTAAAAATAGCTATTCAACATAACAATCTTAATTTTAATGCATCGAATTACAGTTTTCAACAGTTTAAGTGAGCATATCCTGTCACCCTCAGCACATGTTTGATACATACTTGTTATATATAGATGGATACAGCAATATCCATATCTTTATTTGTCTACACACACACACACACACACACACACACACACACACACAGAGTAGAGCTACAGGACCCTGCTTAATAGTGTGTTCTGAATTTCATGTTCCCTTAATTGTCACTGGGCTTATTTATATGAAGTTATGATGCCATTTGTAGAACTTACTGGATTTGTTCTCGTCAAAACTTTAAAAGCCACAGAGCTTGTGGTGGGGTCACCATCATGTCTCAAGGATAGACCCTGTGCTCAGACGGGGGGACCGAGCTGTCGAGTTAGGGGGAGGTGCCCCCCACCCAAGCACAACCCCAACCCAGTGTGGGCAACTTCTCATGGTGCCAAGGCTTCTGCTACCGTCAGACCCAAAGAATTTTGTTTATTTAAATGACTGTTCGTACGATTTGGATTCTATTTTTGTAAAACATAGATTTCCCCCAAAGAAATTCAATAAATAAAGGACTTAGCCACTGAATCAAGGAAGCGGAACTCCAGTTTTTAACCTTCCAATGGGACTGGGGCTCTAGACCCGACCCATTTCAATGTGTACTGCAGTTGGTCTTCCAGGAGGCAGAGGGCGCAGTGACCCCACAGGCGGGTCCAGGACGGACTGTCTCTCTGGTCAGCGGCGGCTCGGCGCGTGTCATTGGATGAGGCTGGAGCTGTAGCTGAACCCGTAGCTGCTGGAGCGCGACAGGGGCTGCGGCGCCTCCTCGCTCTGTTCCGGCGCGTAGCTGGGGAACGTCTGTGCTCGAGACATCTTGGACGAGCCGAACCCGTGGCCTAGAGAGGAAGAAAGGAGAGTCGTACTAAGAGACAGGTTCGGAAGCCTTCACATCCTCAGTGTTGAGCTCAAGGTAAGTCAGTAAAAACTGAGCAGCTTCGGTGCCTTGATGCTTGGTGAGTTAACAATGTCGTATTCAGAGCTCAGTATTTTCCCCAATGCACCTTGCCAAAAATCTGGGTGCCAGAGAGCTAGATAGATATTTTAGGGATCTCAAACTTCTATGATCCTTCAACTTTTGGAATAAAAATTGAGAAGCTGTCCCCAAAAAGCTGTTTTTGATGGAGAGCCCGTGGGTGGCTTTCTTTTCTTTTATGTTCAACTTCAGTTTACGAAAGCAAATTACACACTTTCTTCAAACCTCTGTGAACAGGGAACTACACTTGATCCTAACCGGTAACCATTGATTATCGGGAAAAAGCTTTCACAATGCTGGAGGGAGAGGACCTGGCTTCTCCTCGTGGGTTTGTGAGTCACCACAGCTGAACCCACTTCATGATGTGATTAACCAAAATGATAGGGCTTGCCGGTTACTAACATGGCCTAAAAGATGAATTCCATATGAAATATATTTAAAGAAAATTCTATATGTGCTTTTGGTCTTTCAGCTGCACCCCTGTGATGAGAAATTGTCTGCCTTTGCAAACCAAAACAGAAGTGATTACTGACAACTTGTCATAATGCTAACAATGTATGAAGAAATACGTGCATGCTAAGGCTTCACATGAACTTTCCAGTAGTTTCCTCATCCTTTTTTAACCAGTAATTATTCTTCATACTTGAAAATGATTTGTATCGAATGGATGAGCTTGGGGGAGAGAGAAGAAAAATAGATCTCGTATGTCATTCCCTTTCAGAGTTTATATTTTACCCAAAGGAAGAGATGTATTCAGTGTGATTTGTATTTTATCTGGTTACTAGGGCAAGAACAGAGAAGACAATTTATTAACATAGGAACATTGAACATCTTGTTGTCACATTCCTCAGGTGGCCCGGTCCTTTGCAATGTCACACACTTAAATCTGGTTTCATTGTCAGGTGTGTTTGGTGACTTGGAAAATGTTCTTGCAGTGTGGGAAGCTTGGGAGGCAGGGAGGAAACCCAAATGAATTGGGTAATAAGTGGCTAATTAAAACTGGTAGAACCACTTAAATGTTAAAAAAAATTTGAGAGAAAAATCTTGCTTTTTAAGATAAATATTGTTTTAGAATCACTCTTTGCCAGATTCTCTTGTCACCAGAGTCACCAGGAGCAGATCAGAAGAGAGGGCAGGGCATTTCTGCCCCACTCCCCTGGCTGGGTCAGTGGCCAGTCCTGAGCTTCCAGAACTTTCTACTCCTACAGCTCTTGCTCTCCCTTCCCCCTCTCTCCCAGAGTCCTGTTAACCCCATTTCCTCTCTGGCCCTCAAGCCTGAGGGTGGTAATGCTTCCAGCTGTTGTGCATCTTCTGCAAATTCCTCCTGGTTCCCACAGCTCTCACTAGTCCCTTCATTAAGTCTTAAAAACTTCAGCTGAGTGTGTCTTCCCTTTCCTGCAGGGCCCTGACAATACAATGAAGAAAAAATGGAGCGGGGCAGAGGGGAGAAGTTAGAGAGTTAGAGGGTGGGTTAGAGCAGGGGCTGAAGAAGGGGTCAGGGGGAGTGGTCAGAGGTTAGAGGTGAAAGCTCCGGAGCTAGAACACCAGGTCTTGATGCTGCCTCTGCTACTTACTAGCTTGCAACCCACCTCGAGGGGCTTACTTTGTCTCTTGAATTTCTTGGTTTCCTTATCTGCAAATTCTGGATGAAAATAATGGCACTTAGTGTAATATAGTTCTTTTGAGTATTAAAACAATGAGTTAATCCATGCTAAGTGCTGTCACCCTAGTAAAGAGATATGATGTCATGGTCATCTTCAGGCAGGAGTGTTAACTAGGGAGGTGAAGGCCTCCCTAAGGAGGTGGTATTTTGGCATACACTAATCTGATACGGGGAAAAGCTTTTACAGTTTTTAATGATTTTGTCTCCTTATCTTACCATTGACTCTAGATGACAATTCATGGTTCCCATAATTGAGGATACTGGCATTTATCAGCATAAGCCATCTGGAAAGTCTAATATTAAGACCACGTTTTCAGCCTTGGTTTTATCCTGTTATTTTTTAAAACTTTAGACATACCTGAAAGAGCAATGCTGGAGCACACCTTTAATTTGCATTACTGTGGGCTGAAAGCTGAGGCTTGAGAATTCAAAATAGACTTTGCCTATGAACATAATTCTTTATCTTGGGTATAAAAAGTCAACTGCGCAACTACTATTTACCAATCATCTACTAAGACAGTCCCAGATTCCCCAGGAAAGATGAAGTGTGGAAGGTATGGTCCCTGACTTTACGGAGGTCCATGTGGTTTTGGGAATGATGATCAGACAAAGACAGACAACAATAAGCACCACACAGCCGGTGCTATACAGGATCAGAGGAGAAAGCTAGCGGGGCTTATAGAGCTGTGTCGTACTTTAGCACTCACAAGTAACTTCCCCTCCACTGAGTGTGCAAACCCCACCAATTCCAGGGACTTCTGAAACAGACAGACTTGAGTCCTGCCATACCTTTTGAGCCTCACTTTTCTGCATGAGAATATGCTTTCCCAAGGTGTTTTGAGGATTGTAGGAAACAACACATACGAAGACACCTAGGATGATAGGTATGCAATAAATGTGAGTTTTGTTCTTTCTTTCCACATTGAATGGGTCGGTATTTTTGTCATTCTTTTTGTTCAATGCTTATACTTTCTCCACTATCTCATTATGCTGCCTGTCACTACTGCTATGGTTTGAATGTATTTCCCAAATTTCATCTGTTGGAAACTTAACTCACAATGTAGCAGTGCTGGGAGACAGGGCCTAACAAGAGGTGATTAGGTCATGACCATGTGAGCAGGTCAGTTATCATGAAAATGTGACTCAAATTGTACAAAAGTAATTCATGTAACCAAAACGTTTGTAGCCCCATAATACTCTGAAATTAAAAAAAAATTATCATGAAAGTGGCTTAGTTATTAAAAGCAAGTTCTATCCCCTCTTACTCTCTTGTACTCTCTTGCCCTTCCACCTCCCACCATGGGATGACACAGCAAGAAGGCCCATCAGCCTTAGATTTCCCTGTCTCCAGAACTGTAAGAAATACAGTTCTTTTCTTATTAATTACCCAGTCTGTGGTATCCTGTTATAGAACACAAAAAGGACTAAGACACTCATATGACATGTTTTGAATATTTTTCTCTTTCAAGGTCAACATGGTTTTCTTCACCTCCCCTATGAATAATTTCTAGTCTAATTAGAAATTAAATTATGATTTTTCTTACTGCAGCCATTTCTCTGCAGACAGTTTATAAGTGATGCTATTAAATGCTTATCACAAAAATAACATACCTCAATCAGAACTGTATATATGAAGGCTTTATGAGTGCTGTTTGATTCTGGCAATAATGAGTGTGAGGAAAAAAAGAGAGAAATAATTAAGCATTTTCTCAGCATTCATTTGAATTATGCCCTTAGGCACTGTTGAAAGCAAAACACAAAACCTGATGGAACAGACCTGTTCATGCCATTATTCAAGGACTCTAGTTAAATGCTTCCTAAACTTTTCCTCCACATCACCCCCTAAAGACAGATAAGGCCACTATGTACCCTGGGGATCTGGGGGATGCTATAATTTAAAAGCAATACATATGTTAATTGCTATTAGTCTATTTTAAAAGTCCTCTTGAATTTTGATTTCTAATCTATGTGTCCTCGTGTTTGTTTTAGTAGAAAATAATATTTTCTACCCATATATTCATTCAGGTAATGTTGACAATCTTGGAAAAAACACATTATATTTACCTTGTGGTTCAAGTATACGCTGAAATGAGACTCGTATCATTCGCCCATCACCTTCTCCCCATGGTATATATACATGACCCAGAATCACAGTCCCATTACAAAAATAAGGAACTATATTGGATGTAGAGACATTTAAAACATTTGCTTTATCCCACCAAAGTTATATGACCCCTCCCCAACTCTGGGAGCACAAGAGTTTCACACAACAATGAAGGCAAAACCTTCTAGTCTTAAAAAGAAATTATCCTGCTGTATCATAAAAAATCCAAATGAGTAATGAACTAGAAGGAACACAAATGCAGTTGAAAATAACAACCAAATTGGAATGCATGACTAGAGATTCACATCATGCATAGGAGAAAAGAAGGAGAATGACAATTCATTATGAATATCCTCTCTTTCCTGAGGAATTAAGAAATGCATTGTTGCTGGTACAGACTTACCACTGAGTATTCCCTTTTGTCTAGCCTCTGTTTTTCTATTCTTACTAACACCGTTTTTTTTCTTGATATACAACATAAAGGAAATTATTTTTTGTAGGAAGTCAGAAGGATCTCAAAGCATAAAACTTGTGGTATTAATTGGTAAGAGGCCATGGGCCCAGTAAAGTTCTTTAATGATTTTAATTTATGTGCTTTATTAGTTGTTAGAATCTGGGAGAGATGAAAGGGTATTGTCCCTTTAAATAACAAAACAAAACAAAAAACAATGCAAAAAATAAAGTCTCAAGAGGAAGGGAACAGCCTGGGGTAAAAGCATGAACAACAATTGGGCCTAGATAAACACAGGGGAGTACTGTCTCCCTTCAACAAGTAGCTTCTAACCACTAGGGGAAAATGGAGGGGGCAGGCTGCAGATTCAGGCATGAATGGTGGAGGATGGGATGGAAGGAAGGACTTGGGGTGCAGAACAGAGATCTCTAAGGGCTCTCACTGCAGTGAATTGGGGGCCAGAAGATTTTTAGGGAGTGTTTAATACTTGTATGCTAACCTTGTAGTTAGATAAAAGTTGAAACTGAACTAGAAGGAGAAGGGACCCAAGGGCTGTCTATAATAGCTTAGTAACAGCCTATATATATATGAAAATTTTTAATTGATATATCATAGTTGTACATATTTTGGGGTTACATATATTAA